AGTGAGTGCACAAGTTATCAGTTTAGCACTGAATGGATTCACTAACTTCATTAACACATACATTTCTACAGACTAGAGCTTTACTACATGCCATACTGCTGGAGACAGTGGAGGCAGATGAGTATTTCCAAAAGAATCCAAATCCAGTTACCAATTATAGCTCTAAAAACATTCACTACCCTCATTTTATCATCCTCCACTTGTCAGTACATTCATCATATTGGCTCCTGTCTGTATCAGGACTCATTGAGAAATGGATAAGGTTTCAACTCATTTGCTTATGATTCTAGAAAAGGCCCAATTTGCTCCTCCTGTGACTTAACCCAGATGAATAACTCACATCTTAAACATTTTTATCTCCAAAGTCCCTGCAAAGGCACTTGATGCTGATGTTGTTTTCTTTGTACAGGTTGGTACTGACTTCTATGGAGGTACAGAGCTTGTACAGATAAAGACCCTGGGTCCCACCATGTTTTTTTATTGTCAAGCAAGTTCTTAATACTTAACTAATACTTACTTCCGCCCAAAGAAGGGCTCCCTGCCAGCAGGACCTCATTAGAGCTCCTGCAGATTCTCCACAGTTTTAGGCTTAGAATGGTTTCTAAGCCAGAAGAAACTTCCCTGAGAAAGGGGAAGCTCTGGAAATCAACCCTCTTGCTCCCCTGAATAGCCGGACGCTCCCAGACTGCAGGGCAGGGCAGGGCAGGGCAACCATGCAAGTTCACTGTGGAAGAACCAGCCATTTATTCGGACATTTACCTTTCTTGTCAAGAGAGACTTCCTCTAGTTGCAGCTTGTCGTTTCCTTTTTGTGGAACTATCATCATTTCTGAAGCTCTGTAACTTTAAAAATGGTGTGGAGGGAGGAGTCAGATTTTCCGAGCCAAACTAAAGAAGCTGGAAATCATTGTGGAAACTATTTTTGAAACTTAAGGATATAAATCTTTGGAGGACTCTATATGGCTGTGGATTTCTCTGTTCTTTTTTTTTTGCCTTTAAAACAAAGGATTGTTTAAATGAGGCTTTGAGTTTGCTGTGAGGGGAGAGTGAAACAACACCGAGTTTAACGGCTTTTGTTTGGTCCAGACTGTGCCTTCTCTCTCTCTCTTTTCTTTTTAAGGATTTTCCTCGGTCAGTAACATTGGTTGACCACAAGAGGGAGGCAAAAGACTGTGATATGTTAACCATTACTTTTTTTACTAGTTTTGCAAATTATTGGGCTTATAATAATTTAAAGTTATAATTTAGAACTTTAAAGTGTTTAACTTCAAATTTTAAGCTTTATCTACACATTAAACATGACAACCAGGAAGAGAATGGAGAAGACTGAAAGGATATCAGGGGATTTAGGGCTCTTAAAACCATTTTTGGATGAATATACAGCCAAGACACGAGTTAATTCAGAACATGGGAAGAAGTATCCAGGCTAAATTTGATGGTTTAGCAAAAGAGCTGCGTGGTGAAATACAACACTTGACTGGAGAGATTAAGAAGGTGGAAGTGAAATCTGACCTTTTGGAACATGAGGTAAATAAGGTAAATAATTTGCTGGAAGCTGATTTGGACCAAAATGCAATTTTGGAATGTCAGATAAAACAGTTCCGATTTAGATTTCAAGCTATTCCCGAACAGTCAGGAGAAGACATTAGATTAAGGATGGTATTGTGTAGTGGGCTTCAGTAGGCAAGGAGCAGACCAGCATAGTTATGTTATTTATTATTATTATTATTATTATTATTATTATTATTATTATTATTATTTATTTTATTATTTATTGAATTTATATACCGCCCTATCTCCCTTACGGGACTCAGGGCGGTGAACAGGCAATAATAAAACCACGATAAATATACACAAATTTCTATCTAAAATCAAATTAAATAACAGGCCTGCTCTAAAAATACCCCATACAAAACCCCCACTAAAACATAATCAAACTACGCCAGGCCGCATGGAATAGATGAGCCTTCAGGGCTCGGCGAAAAAGGCGCAGGTCCGCAACTGTACGTAGGTCGGGGGGTAGGTCATTCCAGAGGGCAGGAGCTGCCACAGAGAAGGCTCTCCCCCTGGGGGGTCGCCAGCCGGCATTGTCTGGCCGACGGCACCCTAAGGAGGCCCTCTCTGTGGGAGCGGACTGGTCGAAGGGAGGTGTTTGGTAGGAGGCGGTCTTGCAAATACCTAGGTCCATTGCCACGGAGCGCTTTAAAGGTTGTTACTAACACCTTGAAGCGCACCCGGAAGGCCACAGGCAGCCAGTGCAGCTCGCGC